GCCATATTGTTTCCAGTGATGGAATTAGAGTTGATACTCAAAAGATAGAGGCAGTGCAGAACTGGCATAGACCCACGTCTCCAACTGACATTAGGAGTTTCTTGGGATTGGTTATTTACTATAAAAGGTTCGTCGAGGGGTTCTCATCTATTTCATCCCCATTGACTAATTTAACTCAGAAAACAGTTAAGTTTCAATGGTTTGAAACTTGTAAGAAAAGCTTTCAGGAATTGAAATGGCGGTTGACTACCGCCCCAGCATTGACCTTACAAGAGGGTACCCAAGGTTTTGTGGTATATTGTGATGCGTCCAGAGTTGGTTTGGTTGTGTGTTAATGCAGAATGGCAAAGTTATAGCTTATGCCTCCAGACAGCTTAAGGTTCACGAGAAGAATTACCCTACCCATGATCTAGAGTTGGCTGCCATAGTATTTGCATTGAAAATATGGCATCATTATCTTTATAGTGTCCATGTAGATGTGTTCACCGATCATAAGAGCCTTTAGTATGTGTTTAGTCAGAAAGAGCTTAATCTCCTACAGAGAAGGTGGTTAGAATTACGTAAGGATTATGATATGAGTATTCTCTATCACCCAGGTAACACTAATGTTGTTGCTGATGCTTTAAGCAGATTGTCTATAGGTAGTACCGCCCATTTTGAGGAAGACAAGAAAGAATTAGCAAAAGATTTACATAGACTTCCATGATTAGGAGTTCGACTAAGGATCATGATGAAGGGGGAGTAGTGGTGATGAATGGGGCTGAATCATCATTACTGTCTAAAGTGAAAGAGAAACAAGACCAAGATCCTATTTTGCTTGAATTGAAGGCAAATGTTCATAAGCAAAAAGTGATGGCTTTCGAACAAGGGTGAGATGGTGTATTGAGGTATCAAGGTAGATTGTGTGTACCAAGGGTGGATGAACTCCAAGAGAGGATCATGGAGGAAGCTCATAACTCCAGATATTCTATCCGACCGGGTTCTATAAAGATGTATCAAGATTTGAGAGAAGTCAATTGGTGGAGTAGTATGAAGAAAGGCATTGCAGAGTTCGTTGCTAAGTGCCCGAATTGCCAACAAGTTAAATTAGAGCATGAGAGGCCCGGTGGTATGGCTCAAAATATAGAGATTCCAGAATGGAAGTGGGAGATGATCAATATGGACTTTATCACAGGTTTGTCGTGGTCTCGCAAGCAACATGATTCCATTTGGGTGATTGTAGATAGAATGACTAAATCAGCCCATTTCTTACTGGTAAAGACTACCCATTCGGCAGAAGATTATGCTAAGTTATATATTCAAGAGGTAGTCAGACTTCATGGAGTTCCGGTGTCCATTATTTCAGATAGAGGTGCACAATTTTGGAAGTCATACTAGAAAGGTTTGGGTTCAAAGATGAACTTGAGTACTGCTTTTCATCCTCAGACTGATGGTCAAGCAGAGGGCACCATTCATACTTTAGAATATATGTTGAGGGATTGTGTGATTGATTTCAAGGGTAATTGGGATGATCACCTACCTCTCATTGAGTTTGCTTATAACAATAGTTACCACTCTAGCATCCAGATGGCTCCGTATGAGGCTCTTTATGGGAGAAGATGCAGATCTCTTATTAGATGGTTTAAGGTAGGCGAAGATGGGTTGATAGGACCAGACTTAGTGCATCAAGCTATGGAAAAAGTAGAGGTTATTCAAGGGAGATTAAAAGCAGCACAGAGTCGTCAAAAATCCTATACAGATGTTAGGAGAAGAGACTTAAGAGTTTGAAGTAGATGATTGGGTTTATTTGAAGGTTTCACCCATTAAGGGTGTTATGAGATTTGGTAATAAAGGGACACTGAGTCCCCGATATATTGGTCCTTACAAGATATCCAAGAGGATCGATAACGTGGCTTATGAGTTAGAGCTACCGCAAGAGTTAGCAGCGGTCAATCCGGTATTTCACATTTCTATGTTGAAGAAGTGTATGGGTGATCCTTCACTTATCATACCTACTGAATATATTGGTATTAAGGATAGCTTATCTTATGAGGAGATTCCTGTTTAGATTTTAGACCGCTAGGTTCGCAAGTTGAGAACCAAGGAGGTAGCATCAGTCAATGTTTTATGGAGTAATCAGTTTGTTGAGGAAGCTACTTGGGAAGCTGAGGAGGACATGAAGAAGAGGTACCCACATCTCTTCGAATCCGTAGAAATTCCAAATTAAGATACTAATCCTTTTCTTGGCATTTTCTTAAGTTGGCATGTTGTATTTATATTTTGCTTGTTGGGTGTTTGAGCTGAATGTTAGATGTTATATCCTTAGCCTACTAAGAGTAATCTCATTCGAGGAAAAATGTTCCCAAGGGGGAGATATTGTAACACCCCGCTATTTGAAAGAGCTAGAATTAGAAAGAACTATTTTTGGAAAGAATTAAAATCTGAAATTTGGACAGTTTTGTTAAACATGAGTTTTGGGTCAACTTCAAACGACCATAACTCTTAGTAAAGGATGTGTTTGGTGAGCTACAATATATCAAATGAAATTTCTTTGAATTATCTTTCCAACGCCACCTAGTTTGCTAATTTTCGAGTTTGTATGAGGGATATATGTCTGTTTGAAGTCGGGTTGTCTGGATAAGGAAAGTCACCGAGATTTAAGAGGGGTAATTTTGTATTTTCAATACCTAATTAGTTTAATTCATTTTTAGTGATTAAATTAGGGTCTAAACGGATTTGGTTCAGTTTACGCTTTAGAAAATTACGCTAGGTCTTTGAGAGAAGAGAAAAGAGGATAAAAGAGGAGAAAAGCCAAGGTTCGTCGCGTTCTTCAGTTTTGCTTGCGGATTTCGCCAAGGGTTAATCCCTAAGAAGTATGTGAGATCACATAGTGTTTGGGTTCATTCACCCATGCGCCAATCATGATTACATTCATCATATTTACATTCTTGAAAGTAGAGTTTATGAGTTTTTGTTGAAATTTCGTTTCAATCTGGATTGTTGGGTTTTGGAGGAGTTCTTGAGATGATTTGATGAGATTTAAGGTTGTTTTTAAGTATATTCTTGTATACTTTTGTTCGGTATTCGAATCTAATCTAAGTGTTTGGGGAAAAAACTAATCAAATCTAGACGATTTAGGGTCGAAAAACGAACAAGAAAATTCGTAGGTTTTCTTAGCAGGGGCTGGCGCACCGCACCACTCAGTGCGCCAGCATGAGGTGTCTATAGGATGGGCTCTAGGGGGCCACGCCACTCGGTACGCCCCAACCCAGCTTCTGCAGTTCACGGTCTGGCACCGTGCACCACTCATTTTGCCAGGTCCTTCACCCTTTCCCACTTCTTTCAGTTTGAGTTTCCTCGAATCGTACCTATGTTTTCTAGTTGTTTTCTACATTCTAAGGTATGTTTAAACATCAAGAGATCATCTATAACATGAGATCATAACCCTTGAATCCATAATTCAAATGCAAGGTAGAGCTAAGAGTCAAGTAAATAGAGTTCTTAGAGTTTCTTCAAAAGTCTTTTACAATTGTTTTAAACCTGTTTTAAGACTTAAGCATTGAGTTTGAGAAAGAGTAGAGCCGAGTTCATTTCTTTAAAATGATATATGGGGACTAAGTACTCCCAAAGAGCAAATATTTTCACATTTAAGATGAGAAGAAACACCGATTTCCAAATGAGTTTTCATGAGTAGGTTTGAGTTCCATCTCTTTTAAGAGATAAGTTTTTGAGTAATAACCTCATACCAAAGAGAAAGATTTATGTCTTTAAACATATGAGTTGAGTATATTTTGGGAGTAGTATTGAGCATCGATATGGGGGCGAGTTCATAATAACTCAAGTCTCCATAAACCATGTGGCCATCGTGGGTAGAAAGGGTCATACTTTTTAGATGATTCCTTAATGCATTTTAGCATAGAATAGTGGATCCACTTAGTTGAGGCATTCTATATCACAGACAGTTACAGGACAATTCTGGCAACGTGGGCGAGTGGTTGTATCATCACATAGCTCATAGTGATGGTTGTCGATCAGAGAAACTCCCACAGAGTTGTATTATACTTTATTATATATAAATCGAGTTGTTATTGTATTCTTCAATACATTGAGTTGCTACCTACAATTTTAAATGATTTATATAAACTGCACCTTTATTGTTGCTTAATTCTGCATTGAGTTGTGTATCCATGCGACGAGTAAACCTGAGGTAAGTGTTCCTTTCAGATTTTCAGTTCAAGCTTATGTCATGTTTAGTTTTCCCCTCGCATACTCGTACATTCAATGTATTGATGCCATTTGGCCTGCATCGATTTATGATGCAGATACAGGTGACCAGGAACAACATCCAGCGCTTCATTGATCCAGTTGAGCATTCAGAGTCATTTTGGTGAGCCTCCTTCCTTTCTGGAGGATCCCTTTTTATATTGTTTTAGCATTTTCAGTTGTTAGGATGATCGGGGGGTTTGTCCCGACATCCCTCATAGCTTTAGAGGCTTCATAGACAAATAGATATAGTTCTTTAGTCTTTGCATTTCAGTTGTTTTGTTATAAGACTCGAGTTGCCACTTTGGCTAGTTGAATGTTTATTCCTAAAACATTCTAAGTTATTTTGAGACAATTGATTTAAGTGCATTTGATTTCTTTTATTAATGCTTAAAGTCTTACGCTAAGAGTCTAGATAGGCCGAGGGTTCGCTTTGGGCCAGTAATGGATCTCGAGAGCCAGTCCCGCCCAGGATGTAGGCTCGGGGCATGACACTAATAATCAAAAAGTTGGTAGTAGGTAAATGTTTAAATAATAACCGTAGGTGAAATAGCACACACATGAAAATTAGTTATTTGAGCAAATGGAGGGATCGATTAACACCACCACTATTGCCCCATCCTCCTCCGGCACCAAAACCACTACCTCCATTTTGATCATCACCATCACCACCACCGCAACAGCTATCGTCGTTTTCACCCGATCCATGACTCTCACCATATACAATGCCAAAAACCAAATCCGTCATCACTACCATCTCATCCACCACCATCGTTTACACCGGATTCGTGACCCTCACCATACCCAATACCAAAACCAGATCCACCATCACTACCTCCTCCACCACCACCACCGTCGCCACCACCAATTAGGTCCCCTACAATTTGGCCAAATCCATCATTTTCACCCGATCCATGACCCTCGCCAAATCCAAATCTAACACCAAGTCTAACATCACTACCTCCACCACCTCCGCCACCACCACCATTACCACCGCTACGAAGACCTCCTAAAATTTGGTTGAATCCACCGTTGAAGTTAGGTAAATTGGGTTATAATGGATTGTCAAGAAGCTTCCTTGCAGAGGAAGTTTGCACTACAACTCCCAAAACAACAATTAGCATCAACTTGCATCTCATCTTTGTATCTACTGTTAGCAATGCACACAAAAATAACATAACTTCGATTAGTGGCGGAACTAGGAATTCTATTAATTCTAACAAGAGAATTTAAAAAAATGTTTTACTTGAAATTTGAATCGAGGCATAAACTAATTTTTAAATCACCTTTACTACATCACTAAAAGTTTCCTAAATGTTAAGGGAATCCAACCAATATTATATTGCCACTAAAGAGATTCGATTAACCCCCTTCCAATAGTTAGCTCCTCTTTTGAAAGCCACAACAAGAAATGAAATTTTAAGTGATGACTTTTTTTCGACTCATGCCATCACCAATAAAAGTAATGAGTGTTTGTGACAAATTCCCCGCAAAATATGGAAGCGGACACTAGTCATTATTATGACCTCCATTGTTAGTTCAATATACATATATATATATATATATAGAGAGAGAGAGAGAGAGAGTTTAAAATTATGTAATATTATGTAACACGTATCGAGTTCTCTAAAAATGAATGTATCTTACTTTGCTTTTGTGGCGTTTGTTTTTTGAGGAATAATGCTTGATTTGCCATGAAAATGCTAAATATTACTTAGAATATCGTATTAATTAACAGTTGAGATACTATAAAAAAAATAAGAATAAGAAGGGGTTAAATACAATAGGTAGTACAATTAACTAATCTATAAATGTTTCCAAAACGTAAAAAACAAAAGGAAAATTGAAGTGAATGTATACATAGTTAAACCTCAATAAAGAAACTGGAGTTACTAAATTATGTCTTGTGTTTCGAGTTATTTGTTGGAAGTAGAAAAAAAATAATACTTTCTCTGCTTCAAAATAGTTGTCGTATTCTTTTATATATACGTCCCTTAAACATTAATTAGGAGGGTAGTTGACTAGTTTTCTAATTATGTCTTAAGATATAACTTTTCTTAATTAATTGTTGTGTTTGTATTCTTAAGAATAATTACTAACATTCTCTCGATTCACTTTTACTTATCCATTTATTAAACTTAGCACATCCCTTAAAAGCAATGATGAATATGATTGTATTTTATCAGAATACTCATATAGTCTTGGAAATTTTTGGAGAGTAAGTAATATATTAAGGGTAAAATATATATATATATATATATATATATATATATATATATAATTCTTGATACGTTAAAAGTGACAAGTAAAATTGAAAAAATATATTTTAGGAATAATGAATAAGTAAAAGTGAATGGAAGGAATATTTTGAGATAAATATTTTTAATAAAAACGATAAATATTTTGAGACGGATAGGCGGGATTATATGTATTCCATTTTGAACATTATGGTCTTGAAACCCAATTGCTTAATTACTGGATATTAAGATGATGAAATATTCAAGTTCCATTATGAATTATGTAAACAAACAAATAGTCCTAAAAAATGTAGCTAAATATTCTAAAAATAAGTATATGCTTCAAAATAATTCATGTATTGTGCACTAGCTCCAATTAAGCACACATTAATGTTTTAAGACATTTTAACACTTTGTTTTTTTCTTTCGAACTTAATATAAGCTCCAATAACCTCACTATCTTTGTGGGATAGTGAGGTTGTTTTTGATAGATCCACTACTGAAGAGATCAACTATATTTATGGGATAGTAAAGTTATTTTCCAATAAATCATATGTTAAAGAGATTAGATACTACAATCAATAATTCAAAACTCAATTCCCCAGGAATTCCTTAAATTGATGGACTAACCTGTGTAGTGTAATTCTTGTATTATTACTCATTTACAAACACTAGTTAGATATTAAATGATTTAAAATTGTAAATTTGTAATTCAACTTGGATGAAGAACAAAAAATTTGACCGACTCGATCAGTTAATTGGCGAAGAAAAATAAAATATAGCATTGACCAAGTCGGTCTACTTAAATTACACAATTATTTAGGTATTTAGGGGTCAATATACAGGAATTAGACAATTTTTTCAGTTTTCGTGTGTAGACCATGAAAATTATGGTGATAACTATAAGGCTTACAGATGATTTTTTCAAAAATCTGTACAGAAGAGCCTTAGGGAGTTAGGGGAGAGGCACGTAAAATCTCAACATTTTTACATCATTTTTGGGTATTTAGGGGTCAATTTACAAGAATTAGGAGTTTTTCTCAATTTTTCGTGTGTAACACCCACGAATATGGCTTACAGACGACATTTTAATAAAACCTTTACACAACCCCCCATTAGTGAGTTAAGCGAGCAGTACGTACAATCTCACAATTTTTACGACATTTATGGGCATATAGATGTCAATATAGAAGATTTAGGAAATTTTTTTAGTTTTTCGTGTGTGTTATATTTCGAATAAATTATTTTACAAAAAAATTACAAAACCCACGAGGCAGCCCCCTACCCACCCGCTTCGAGCACCCCCCCCCCACCAACCTGCCACAACCCCCCCCCAGTATTGAGGCCCCCTGCCTCGAGACCCCCTGCCCTGCCTCAGAAGCCCCGCCCTACCCCGAAAGCCCCGCCCCGCCCCGCCCTGAGGCCCCTCCCCACCATCATGAGGCCACCCTAAGGCCCTACTGCAACGAGCTCCCCCTCCCCCCGCCTGCCTTAAGACCCCACCTGCGTCAAGTCCCCCCCACTCCCTTCAAGGTCCCACCTGCCTCGAGACCCCCCGCCCTGCCTTGGATGCCCCGCCTTTCCCTGAGGCCCCTCCACACCGTCCTGAGGCCAACCCCCTCCCCCCAGAGGTGCCCACCCCACTCCCCCGAGCCCCGAAACAAGAAAAACAAGGCTAATAATATTGTGACAAGTTTTAAAAAAGTCACACATGAATTATATTTATAATTATTTAACATAAAAACATCTAAATAAATTAGCAAGAACTAGCATATCATGGTCGCTATTAATAGATTTACGCAATTTTCAAATATTTTAATAAATGAGGTTTACAGGCCTCACTTTAAAATTAAAAATTAACTAAAACAAACAATTACAATGTAACTATTCTTCTATATAGATAAAAATTCAATAAGATGAAAAGGCAAACCAAATTAAGGAGTGGAACTAGAAAAAATAGTCTTAAAATGGTGAAACTGAAAACGCTCATAACTTCAGGCTCCCTAAGGCGCAGGATCCATGGGCTTACACGCAGAAAATAGTGAAATTTGGGTAACTCATAAAATTTGGCTCATGAATGTGATATTATGCGTGAAAACTATGGTAGGACTGTATGTAATGCTACCCAAACTCATTACATAGATCCTCGAATAGTTTATTCAGAAAAAGTTTGCAGGTGCCCCAAAGGCGCCAGATCAATGCGCTAATACACACGAAAAATAGCAAAATTCAGGTAATTTGTAAAAGTTGGCTCATAAATGCAAAAATATGCGTGAAAAAATGGTGACATTATATGTAATGCTTCCCTAATTCATTACAGAGGTCCATATATAGTTTTTACAAAATATAAAATAGGGAGCTCTAAAGTCGCCAGATCCATGGACTAATACACACGAAAAATAACAAAATTTGGGTAATTCGTAAAAGTTGGCTCGTAAATGCAAAAATATGCTTGAAAAATGGTTGGATTGTACTTCATGCCTCCCCAACTAATTACAGAGGTCCTCATATAGTTTTTTCAGAAAAAAAAATTGGATGCCCCAAAGGCGCCAGATTCATAGGCTAATACACATGAAAAATAGTGAAATTCAGGTAATTCGTAAAAGTTGGCTCGTAAATAGGAAAGTATACGTGAAAAAAAGGCAGAATTGTACGTAGTGCTGTCCCAACTCATTACAGAGGTCCTCATATAGTTTTTTCAGGAAAAAAAATTGGTGTCAAGGGTGCCATGTTCATAGGCTAACACACACGAAAATGGTGAAATTTGGGTAATTAGTAAAAGTTGGCTCATAAATGCAAAAATATGCCTGAAAAATGGTGGAACTATACGTAATGCTTCCCTAACTCATTACGTAGGTTCTCAAATAGTTTTTTCAGAAAAAATTTTGTGTACCTCAAAGGCGCAAGATCCATGGGCTAATCCACACTAAAAATGGTGAAATTCATATAATTCAAAAAAGTAGACTCGTAAAGGCAAAAATATGTATGAAAAGATGGTGAGACTGTCACGGCCCGAGCCTACACCATGTATGTGGCCGGCACTCAAGAACCATTGTTGGTCCCAAGCAAACCCTTATCAGACTACAAGCGAAAGACTAACTCAAGTATACATAAGCATCAAATAGAAAGAAATGCTTAAAAATAGTTTACTCAGTCTCAAAACTTTGTTGAATATACTGAGTATAAACATAAGTTTTAAATAAAATATCTGAAACTGAAAAACTCTCCAAAACTGTCTATATGTGAAGCCTCTAATGTATACAAGGATGAGTGTTGGGACAAGACCCACGACTCCTCAAGATAACTACTGGTAACAACTCATAAAAATTGGAGTCCTCCAGAAGAAAGGAGGTCTTACTTAAAAGCTGACGAAATGATCTCAACGGACTCTTGTTGAGAATCATAAGAACATGTATCTGCATCATTAAAAGATGCAGGTCAAATGACATCAGTACATTGAATGTATGAGTATGTAATATAGTTGAATAACAAAAAAAACTGAATGAAAGGACTACTGTAAATATAGATATATACTCAACTGAATGTAGAGAAATAAAGGAGTTAAATCATTTAGAGCTTTACAAAATACTTTCTCATCTTTGAACTCAACATAATGAGTGATATATAAAAATACACGTTAACTTTATTGGGAGATTCTCTAACCAACAACCATCACTATGAGCTACGTGATGATACAACGTCTCACCTACACTGCCAGAACTGTATTATACCTAGCCGAGGTATAGAACTCCTCAACTAAGTGGATCTACTA